ATATGAGCGCGCGAAACACAAGTTGTTTACTTTCGCAAAAGTTCACTGCACGATTGGTTAACTATTAGACTTTAAAATGCTAAAATATTAAAATTCGGAGTAGATATATTTTCAATTTAAAACAACTCTTATAATTAACAATAAAAATTTTAAATAGTACGATTTCACTTTACAATTTGCCGTAAATGCCAATGGCCTTCATAAAATTAAATATTCTGCTGGGAACAACGACGGAAAAAATGTCTTGCAATTTCTTGCATTTATAATATTTCCTTCAGATCTCTCCAAAGTCTAGACATTCAGTTAAGATGTGTCTAACGGTAAAATCTGTGTCGCATCCGACACAAACGTGGTCTTGACAAAAAGGGTTTTATTATGGGGGGAAAAATAATCCATGAATAAAATTCCGGATGCTTCCACCCAGCTAAACAAAACTGAAATGTAGAAAAATAGAATGCTTTGGTTATAATATTTCTAAAAATGTCAGCAGATCATTATGAAGGAAACCCTCAAAGGAAAGATGTGGGGCAAGGGGGTCCAGTAACAGTGGAGTAGTAACATCAACAAGTCCAACAATGGACCATCAACACGTCCAACAATGGACCATCAACACGTCCAACAATGGACAATCAACAAGCAAGGCAAGGACAGGCCAAAGCACCACACAGTGCATACACGGCTACTGTTCACTAGTGCTTGTTACTCTAAGGTATCGAATAAGCCCCCCCCCCCCCTTCCATACCCCTGTTTATTAATTTTCAGTTTTTGTGCAACAACCCCCCCCCCCCCCCCTGGGGGCCTATATTCATAACCCCCCCCCCCGTGCAAACACCCCCCCCCCCCTGCGCTCTTTATTCCATACCCCCCCCCCTCCCCCCGGATCATGTGAAACATTACAACTAGATATTTTTTTAATGAAACTGGTTTGTTCCTAAATGGGAAAAGTTGTCGCAGTAACTTACTAAAATTTCATGATCTCCTGTTCTTTTATTCACTGAGGGAGAAATAAAACAGATTTGTTCCTACTAGTACAGGAGTACGAGGTTGAATGAGCCCCCTCCCCCCCCCCTCGTCCCGTTTATTAATTTTGGACCACTTGTCAGGGAAACTGTTTTTGAAAAATAACGTAAACACTCATGAATATTAAAATATTATGTTCCTATATCCCATGTATTAAAACACATTGCAAGATAAATGAAATCAACTACACACTACAAAATTCTGTAAAGACAAAAGTGTATACAGTATCAAAAAGGTCAAACAAAACTCAAAAAAAAAAACCCACATAAAAAAGTTTTGGTCCATCAATTGTATACATATTATTATTGAAAATGGCACGGAAAATTTCCATTTTAGTCTGTTGCACTGTCAGGGCAAGAATGTATATTTTCACATGTATCATACAATAAGTTGTGCAAATATTGGTTACAAACCAGTATATATTTTCAAGTGCAGATATTGCAAACTAAGGCAATTAAAATGTGTACTTTCACATAATTTATGATAAGGAGCACGCAACTGGTGGAAAAGGAAGTTATTTCGAGAAAAAGATTAATTGATTCAAGTCCCATCAGGGTTCTTCGATTGGTTAAAAAAAATTAAATAATTGGAGAGCTCAAATTCTATCAGAGAACTTGGCAAGTGTGCTACTAGTACCTGGCACAGTCTCCACGACAACACGTATGGAGCACAGCACTGCACTTTCCAAAGTCATGTGACATAAGGAACATTTTTTTGGGTGAGTTTTAGTAGTTTTACGGCGCTTGCAACTGCATAAGGTCATATGAGCATCAAGGGGAGGATGGCAATAGAGAAGTCCATACAGGGAATCGGGCTCACTCTGCTCACCTCTCTAGCCCAGACACCTGGTACTGTACAATCCCTGACCTATATGTGTCTGTGTCCTGAAACTCTACCTTACTACCAGCCGGAAAACCTCATGGCTTACAAAGACATTTGCTCAATAATATATCTGGAATGTAGGTGATTTTAGTTTTAGTAGAAGTTTTACGGCGCTCGCAACTGCATAAGGTCTCACATGAGCGCCAGAAGATTAGAGGTATTACAAGAGAGTAACAAACCTAAAAAAGAAGAAGGGTAGTGGAGATAAGGACGATCGATAGATGTTTGATAGGAAAGAAAAAGCAAACCACACCAGAGCATCCGCCAACCACCCACATGTAGGTGAGAGTGGGGATGAGATGGAGAGGGGAGGAAAGGGGTGAGAGAAAATGAACATACAAAGGGGACAAAAACATAGAAAACAAGGAGAAGAAACGTAAAGAAGAAGCAGAAGAAAAAAAGATTTACGTTGAAAGCAAATCAATGACGCAAGTCAATTAGTCAATACACATAAAAAAAAGTTTCTGATTAAATACTGGAGTAAATACAGAGTTCTAACAGTGAGTTCACAATATTTATACAGAATGTACATGGTCAAAGGAGAGCAAAGTAAATTAAAACAGCTCAGCCAAAAGGCAAACAAGAGTAAAAATTAAAATAATTGATATATATATTTCTCATCCCTTTTTAAATCAAGAACGGCGGCAAAAAAACCCAAACAAAAACAATGTCTGAAAGTAAATACATCCTCCATCGAGATCACCACCCTCATTTTGTGACGCGGAACTCAACAATCTCACGTGTAACTTTTCCCTCCTCCTTCTCCAGCTTCCCAAACACCAGAAATTTTCACACAATTTCAACACAACAATTTATTTTTTCCCCAATTCACAAAAATAGCCGCCTTTCAAACTGACGCGCTTTGTTTGCTGATTGGTGACGTTTACCACCTAGTTTCTTTGGATTTTCCCCAAAATGCCTTTGCCGGCAAGGGTTTTTACAAGAGCCTTGTGATGGAAAAGTATTCAATCAAATAAACTTGTCCCCGTTGTTTTACGCAAGAAAAATTCTGAAATTATGCAAACTGAGCCAAAAAATGTGAAATTATGCTTTTAAAAAAAAAAAGTTTAGTGTGGGGTTTTACGGCGCTCGCGACTGCATAAGGTCATATGAGCACCCTGAAATTATGCGATTCTGTTAATTTTAACAAAGAATGATAAAGGAAAATAATAAGAAATTATGCAAAAAATGATCAAATTTGGCTAAATTATGCGGGGTGCATAAAACCAGGGGAACAGATAAACACTGTCCACAGGTACAGTAACAAAGGACGCAAAATGGAAACAGAAAAGAAGAAACGAAAAACCAGAAAAGAAGAAATGAAAAACCCAAGCATCTGAAAAAAGGTAAGGCACCAACAATAAGATCTCATCAAGTCGCCTTCTACGTGCAACAGAACAAACACAGCAGGGAGGGACTGACACTTTCCTAAGATCAAAGCTGCAACACCATTCATGATGACAACAATTGGTCGCTTTTAAGGACAAGTGGGCTAACCCAGATTTGGGGGGGGGTCCAGAAATCTTGACCTACACCAAAAGTGGGCGTTGCCCTACCTATAGAAGGAGAAGTCTGGTTTCATTGGTGTGTATATTTGTTTGGCTATAGAGAAAACTCTCCTTGTCTTTTAAAGAGACTGAATAAGGAAAAAAAAAAATTGATTCAAGTTGTAAGAAAGAACTGTGCATAGTTCCCCTATACTACATCTGTGCTTCAAAACGTAGAGCTGCCTTCTAAAATGTATCTTAACACAATCAAAAGATTAAGTACAATCAATACAGAGGACATGTTTTCAAAAAAACAAAACACTAAAAAACATTACCAAGAGATGTAATACAACAAAGGCAAACAGCAAACAGCAAGAACAGCCACGCATGAGTTAACTTTGAGCAACACGAGTTAGAGAGGTGAAATATATTGGAAAATAGAGCAAGAGCACACACATATTTTCCAACAACAAAACGTAATGACCCTCATGAAAGTAAGTGATACATTTTAAACGTATTGGTTGTTTTAGTTTCGTTTTAGAAGAGCTTTTAGGGGCGTTCGCAACTGCATACGGTCATATGAGCGAGCGCCAAGGGGTGGATGTCAACAGAGATGTCCTTACAAGGAATCAGGCTTACTCTGCTCACCTCTCTAACCTCAACAGCACAAAGTCTGCTTCGACTATCAAGGCACCCTGGAAATAGCGAGTCACAAGAGTACTGGTATGAAGAAAAAAAATGTCATTCAAACCAAAACCCCACCCCCCTAATATAAAAAAAATCAACAAGACTTAAGCAATAGGCTTATCGTGTGACAACAACAAATCAGCAGTTAGTATCAGTAACAGTCCTGCCAAACACTCCGAGGCCCAATTTCGAGTTTTCTCAGAATCCTCACGAAAAATTGGAGCGCGGGGAAAACAAGTAAATTCTGTGTCCAGAATCCCTGAAGATTAACCAAGGCAAATAAACATCTATTGTAACAAATACATGTACATATGTGAGGCAGCGCGGTGGAATCAGGCTCTCGTCAAAATCAAAGTGGAGAAACTTGCATTTTCCGCAGGTTTGTGAATTTTTATCAAATTTTTGTTTTTTAGCTCAACACCTTTCATGCTCATTAAAGAACTCATTTCTGTGTGAATTTTTCTGAAAAGCGTTGATTACAGACACTAAAATGTAAATTTTCAGTAACCACGTACTCTTAAGCTAAGGAAATAACTAATCTTTGGCGGTCATTTTCTCACTAATTTTACCTCTGAAAACAGGTGACCCCCACCTCCTTCTTTCGCAAATATCTCTACTTGTATTCAAGATAAATGGATATTTTTTTCCATCCAAATAAAGACAAGTGAATAAGCTTTAAGATGATACCAATAACTCTACATGCCCAAAAATTGACGAAAGCCTGATTCCACCACGCTGCCTCACATATAAAAAACGTGTATTTTCACAGCATTACGAAAAGTAGTGCAAGTTTATAGCAAAATAAACCTGTGTATTTTCCCATCATTTACGATGATTTGCTTACAACAGATGGAAACAATCTGAGAAAAAAATTGGAATTTATGTAAATTTGACGGGGATTCTTCGACGGGGGGAAAAAAAATATTTTTAAAAATGAGTCAGCTCCGATTTTATCAGAGTACTTGGCAGGTCTGATAGAAGAGATTCCATTTTGAGGAGGGGGAAGGGATCTGTGCTAGTCTAACATACAGTGACGTGGCAAACTTACTAGCCTAAGTCTAAATGTATAATTGATAAAGTATATCATGATGGCTACAGTACTTTTCCAGTCAAAATAAAAAAGTAAGGTGTGCAGACAAAATAAGATGCTTCTCGCAATCTACACATGGAGATATTGGCCAAAAATCGACACTAGGGTCAAATTTTTAGGATTTCTATTGATGTCATGTTCTTTAACTATAACAAGTCTTTTGTTATTTCATAATTATAAATTGTAAACACTTCCCCTATACGCGTGACGTATCTATTTCCATCAGGCTTGAATCCGAGAAGTAACTCATTTAGCCAGCACGCTTCACAAATAGTACAGAATGGAATTTTCATCGAACTAAAAAAATTTGGATTGATCTTCAATTGACAATTTCCACGCTACTTCTCGAAGTTTATCACAAACAGATAACACTCCAGAATTTGACCACCCTGTTTATAAAACATCTACAACGCTCCATCGTAGCCATGATTCTCTTTTCCTTGAGCATACTGCGGAGCTGCATTCTGTCCAGGGACGTCTTGATAAGCCGGCGGGCCCTGGGCAAAGGCGGGCTGAGGCTGGTGGGCAGGGTACGGGCAGGCGGCGGGCTGAGCGGGATACTGCGGGTAACCTGGGTATGCCGCTGGGTACTGAGGGTAGGCAACTCCGGGCTGCATTCCTGTTGTGTTCATTGTCGTGTTATTTGCTGAAGAAAAGAACGTAAAGAGCGTTGTTATTGATCCAGTGTTGTTGTTGTTGTTACCGATCCAGTGTAGTTGTTGTTGCTGCTATCCATCCAGTAAAGAGCATTAAACAATCCCCGTTCGGCAACTGAACAAATAGTCGCTTCTGAACATTCATGTCTACAGAAAAGAAAAGGGTCGGATTTGAACTTTTCAATCCAAGTCTATAGACAAAAAGTGACATTTGAATACTCAAGTCTACATTACTGAAAACAGATGCATTTGTTCTTTTTTTAGTAGAGGTTTTTCGGCGCTCGCAACTGCATAAGGTCAATTGAGCACCAGAAGAAAAGAGGAGTTACAAGAGAGTAACAAACATAAAAAAGAAGGGGAGATAAGGACGATAGACATTTCATAGGAAGGAAGAAGCAAATGACACCAAAGCACCCACCAACCACCCACACAGATGCATTTGAGTGTTCAAGTCGTCTACAAAAAATAAATAAAACGGCCATATTTGAAAGTTCCAACCTACAAAAAAGCAAGTAGCCAAATTTAAACATTTCAGTCCCGAGGGGAAAAAAAGGAAGTAGCCCCCATTTAAAAGTTTCAGACGTAACAAAACCAGTCAGTCTTTGACATAAAACATGTTCTTGTGCCAGGAAAAATCGGTTTCACTTGGACTTGGATGTTTTATCTCTCTCACTGCCAGACCCGAGGAATTTCAGGTAAAATGGATCTATACAGGCGACTGCCATTACCGAAACCCCTAGGCTGCTGTGGGGGGGGGGGGGGGGAAGGTTTGTTGTCCCCCCCCCCTACAATTACCCCGCGTGTTTCGCGGCTGGTCCCGGGGGGTATTTAACTGCTGTCCTTTCATGGGTCGACTGAGCACTGTCTGAGTTACATCCCCTTGATAACAATAAAATTTTGATTTTTAACTCGGACAACCTTAAATTTAAATGAAGTTTGCACGACTGCCAACAAACCTAAAAAAAGTCTCTCCCCCCCTTCACTTTTTTGGAAACCAAAGTTGATGTACATGTACGGCTAGAGCCAGACATCGACAGTTATAGAACAGACGTAGGCAAGTGTGTCCAGGTCATAAACCAGATTAAGCCATTCCGAATATCCCACGAGGCCAAAGTGGGAGAAAGCTGTCAAAATATCTGAGCTTAATTAAAAGGACAGACTAAAACTGAAACTATAGCAATATGTCAGTCACCCCAGGGCATTTCAGGAGATCAAGTATTAGATCTATTGCTTCCAACTAGGCCAGAAACAACTGATTTTCATTTTCAAGACAGCCGGTTTAAGTTTAAAAAATTTTTAAAATTAATTATGAACTCATTACTACAGGCCACTTGGTTGACTTCTTCGGGCCAGACTGGAACTTAACTCTTGCGGGTCGTAGTTCGCCCATGCTTGACATAGAGCGTACCCTTTGGAAGTTAAAAGGGCTCTTCTTTCGAAAGAACCAACTTCATGTAAATAGAAAAATTGGGATTTGAGCATAAGACTTTTTCTTTTAGTAGAGGTTTTTACGGTACTCCCAACTGCATAAGGTCATATGAGCGCCAAGGGGTGGGTGTCAACTTCAACAGAGAAGTCCAAACGGGGATTAAGGCTTACTCTGCTCACCTCTCTAGCTTCAACAGCACAAAGTCTGCTTCGACTATCAAGGCACCCTGGAAATAGCGGGTCCCAAGAGTGTGACAAACATACAAAAGAAGTAGAGGAAAAAATGATGATAGTAAGGGTTAGGAAAGAAAAAGCAGCAGTTCCCTATTGCAGTTCAGGCAGTTAAGAGCATGACTGTGACATCGATGAATCAGCACATTAACAATTACAATTCTACTGTGAATAAAAAATATGGTTTATGTCCCCCCCTTTGAGAATGGCCTAAAGACACTTCCGTCAGTAGCACAGTTGGGGGGGGGGGGGGGGGTTATCATAAGACTCTTTTAGTTTTAGTAGAGGTTTTACGGCACTCCCAACTGCATAAGGTCATAAGAGTGACAGAAGATTAGAGGTGTTTACACAAGGGAGTAACAAACATAAAAAAGGAGGAGGGAAGACAAAGACGATAGACGTCTGACAGGAAAAAAGGAGCAAATCACACCAGAGCACCCGCCAACCACCCACTCATAAGACTCTGGTGTTCGACAGATGTTTGACAGGAAAGAAGTAGCAAACCATATCAGAGCACCCGTCAACCACCCACTCAAAGGAATTAGTTTTTAGTTTTAGTAGAGGTTTTACAGCGCTCGCAACTGCATAAGGTCATATCAGCGCCACAAGATTAGAGGTGTTACAAGAGGGTAACAAACATAAAAAAGAAGGGGAGATAATGACGAAAGATGTTTGATAGGAAAGAAGAAGCAAACCACACCAGAGCACCCGCCAACCACCCACTCATAAGACTCTGGTGTCCCAACTACTCACACTGGGCAACGACAACTGCCGCCCCCGGCTGCTGACCGTAGATGACCTGTCCCTGAAGCCTTCGGCGCCGGCACAGGCAGACAATCAAGGCAATGACGAAAATGCAGAAGCCGACAGCACCAATGATGCCAATGATCATGCCAACCCTGGAGGAAGGATGACAAGAGAACAGTAGGATGTTAGAGAGACGGAAAGAAATGTGAGGCAGCCAAGTGAAATCAGGCGCTCCTCAAAATGATCATGAAATCCCAGAAATCTGCATTTTTCACCCAGTTTGAAATTATTTTTCAAATTTTTGTTTCTTGCCACAACATTCTATGTCCATTCAAAAACATTTTATAGGTGGATTTTATGTGAAAATGATTAAAGGCTCAAAAAATATATATTTGCAGTTTCCCAGGACTCTTATCTTGTCTTAAGCTATGGAATTCACCAAACTTTGGCAGCTATTTTGTTGATGATTTTACCTCTGAAACCAGGCAACCCCACCTCCTTCAATCGCAAACGTCTCGACTTCCATTCAAGATGAAAGGATTTTTTTTTTTCAGCGAAAGCAAGGCAAATGAACAACCTTTAAGACGGTACCAATAAGTCTTTATACCCAAAAATTGACCAGCGCCCGATTCCACTGCATCATACCACAAATCAAAGCCTAGTGCCCAGTATCAAAGACACAGTTTTCTGTGAGTTCAGTCAAAATTGTTCAAGACTAGCTATCTGTTGTCGACGAGAAACGTGGCAGTCTTGGCCAGGGTCATTATATTTTTAAAACGCAAAAAGGGGAAGTGGGAGGTGTTCACTAGTACAGGTAACAGTCTGGGACAGGTGGCCGGTATAGCAGATTCGAATAATTGTATTGTACAAAACACTAAGAACATTTTATCTTAACAGACTTGACTCCCCCCTCCCTATACTTTTTTGGTACATGTAAGTGCTTTAAGGCGCTCCCATCTGCATAAGGTCAGATGAGCGCACGGGACACACCCAACATTTTCAGAGTTGGTAGGAAACTTTGAACTTTGCGCGTGTGGCGACTGAAGCCTACTCTTAGCGACTTTCCCCTTTATCCCAAAGTCCAGGAAGTGATGAGACATAAATACCATCATGCGTCCTTCTCATCATACAGAAGGAAAGTTTTACTGCATCGAGTACGAGCCACCCTCCCGCCCACCAACCACAGAGACAAGAGAAAGTTTCGTTCCCACTTTTTTCCCAAAAAAATTTCCTGTGACACACACCCAGCTGAGACTAACTGGTCGCTTTTAAGCAAAAGGGGGCTATCCCTAAAAATGCAGTTTTGAAAAAAATCGAAGGTAAAGTTTTTGCCCCTTGTTCAGTTTCTTTAAAAGACAAGGAGAGTTTTCTCTATTACCAAACAAACATACCCACCAATGAAATCAAACCAAACTTCTCCTATAGGTAGGGCAATGCCCTCTTCTGGTGTAGGTCAATGATTCTGAAAATCCCCCAAATCTGGGTTAGCCCACTTGTCCTTAAAAGTGACCAATTCCTCCAGTACCGACCACAAGCTCTTCCAGGGAAAACTTTCCTCTCACCCAAGTCCATACAGGAGGCTTGATGCTTGCGCTAGAAAAATTAGTTACATCTTTTTCCACAATAAACATCCTTTGTTTGTTTTAGTAGATGTTTTACGGTGCTCCCAACAGCATAAGGTCATAATGAACGCCAGAAGATTAGAGAGGTGTTACAAGAGAGTACATCAAACATAAAAAAGGAGGGGAGATTTAAAAGGACGATAGATGTTTTAATAGGAAAGAGGAAGCAAACCACACCAGAGCACCTGCCAACCACCCACTTCAGAAACATCCATTGTTCCCTCAAATTAAAATATCAGTCAGAAGTAAAAGACCTAGGAAGCTTCTCATTTGTAACTAAGAAAGATATAGAAAGTCATTCCTACCAACATCCATTAATACTTTGCCGCCTCCTCTCGCCGATTGGCAATGTTTACCACCCAGTCTCTTTGGATTTCCCCCAAAATATGATGGCAAAGTGTTAAACTTTTCCATCTTAATCATCTTGTTATAAGTGTTACTTAAAGTATTCATATGACCTTTATTAAAGCCCGCATCAGAATACCACTGGGCTGCAATCAGAATACTGAGTATGTAGCCTATAGCTTACGCTATCAAATAATGCTTAGATTGCTGTTCATTTATATTACAATGCGTGTGACTGTGAGCCTGTTTGTGAGTGCAAGTAGTATACTATTATATTATTTAACGTTATATGCACAGATGTGTGTGAGGGAAGAGTATATGTGTGTATATAGGTGTGCTTACATATGGGTGTGTGTGCATGTTTGTGTGAGTATGTGTGTATATAGGTGTGCTTACGTATGGGTGTGTGTGTGCATGTTTGTGTGTGTGTGTGTGTTGTGTATGCGTATGTGTGTGTGTGTGTGTGTGTGTGTGAGCGTGTGCATGAGAGAGTGTGTGTATGTGGTGAAACACAAAACCAGTGTGCCAGGATCTGGACAATAAAGATGTATCTTATCTTATCTTATCTACTAAATGATCAAAATTAAGTTCAAAAGAACCATTTTGGTTCAACTTGTGATTTAGTTTTAGTAAGAGTTTTACGGCACTTGCAACACAATAAGGTCATACATATATATATATAAGTACCTACCGAAGATTAGAGGTGTTTCAAGAGAGTAACAAATTTACACAAAAAAGAAGGAGGAGAGATCAGGACGATAGATGTTTGAAAGGATTCATTGTTTATTGTTTCAGGAAGCAACATTCCCGCGCTCCGGACAGGTCCATTGATGCTTTGTCGCTCTCCCCAAAATGTCACCAAGTGTTTGATAGGAAAAAAGGAGCAAACCGCATGTACCAGAGCACCCGCCAACCACCCACTCAACTTGTGAAATAAACAGTCAATAAAAAACCCAGGACCAATTGCAAACTCACGGAGGGTCACAGCAGTCATGAAAATATTCGTTGCAGCAGCCATATGTACAGTACTTTAATGAATCATAGTTGCCACAATACTCAGCCTCACATCCTGTAGATAAGACAAAATAAGCAAAATTGTAAAAAAATAGATGATTGATAAATTTACATTAAGAAGTAATAATAAATTATAAATAGCATATTTGTACAGCGCACATCCCCGCTCGAGGGCAAGCTCTATGTGCCTTCCACTACATTATTGGGGATCAACGACTGGTGATGGGTCTCATTTAAATATATTGAGAAATGCCGAAGCGTCTCAAACAGCTTCTCCCAATACAGCCAACCGTAGCTGCCCGTGGTGGTCCCTGTTTCCACTGACATGGCTCTGGCGAATGGCGAGTTGTTGGCGCCAACAAACCAACCCCCCATTCCCTAGAGGGATTAAAACAACAGGATGGGAGCAGGTGTGGCCCCACAAGGCGCAGGAGGCAGAACTCACCAATGCGTGGTAGACGCTATGCTCCTCACTAACACACCCCTACTCTCCCTTGAGTGGGTGTCTAATCTGCCTAACACCTCTACTACTTTTATCAACACACCCTCTGTGGCTGAGACTGAGAAGGTACCAGTCAGTTTGAGAGTGTCTGGGTGTAGGGGATGGACCGAGCGGAATGCTTGACTTGCTTTCTGGCCGTTCACACAAAACTCTGCAGAATTTATTAGCATTAACTTCAACAAAAAAAAAAAAAAAGTGTGTGTATGTTGTTTTAGCGTGTGCATGTGTAGTGTGAAGTGACTTTTTATCTATCTTGGGTATATATACAAAAGGTAGCGTCAATTGCCACCGAGTGACGCGGTGGCAATTGACAAAAATTGACTTTTTTGTCAATTGCCACTGAGTGAAGCGGTGTCAAGTCTGAAAACAACACTATCTTTAGCTTTATACATAATGTGTGTCTAATGGGTCAATTTGTTCTCAACTAATTTCATTGGACGAACATCTAGTCTAGAGCTACGGTACCAACTTGGCGTGTTTTCAATGAGACGTAGGCCTAGATCTAGGCTAGCCTTAGCCTACACTTTGGTGTAGACCAGCACACAGGCAATTCTAGAAGTAGGTCACAAACGCACACAAACTCAATCAGAAATTCATGTTCTATCGGGGGACGGGGGTCATGAAAAGACACATACACAGAGGGACAGAGAGGCGAATGCACAGCACCTAGCACAATTAAAGCTTGATCTACCCGCCAATGCAAAAGAGCTCCAATTTACTTGGTGGCAATTGACAAAAAGTCAAATTTTTGTCAATTGCCACCGCGTCACTCGGTGGCAATTGACACTAGATCTACCTATACAAAAACCTCTCTCTCCCTCTCTTTCTTTGCCCCTCTCGCCTCTATGTGTGACGTGTGTATAAATATGTTGTAGAGTAGCTTGACCCTCTCGCGGCCACTGCTGGTGTGCGGCCAGTTCTCATAAAACTCGCATTCCAGTTGCTGTAAGACTTTGAATAAACTACTGTAGCTTCTCTTGGGTCTGCCAATGCATTCACTTTCATTTCCGGTCTTTCCCGCTGTTCCGACACACGTGATGCGAGTTTGAACTTTTCAACCCAGATCCCTTTGACTTTGTGAAATTTCAGGTGAGTTTTTCATTAGCTCTTACCACAACATAAATATCATTATTTTGTCAACTAAGTGTGGTTTCTGTGTTTTAAAATGCATGTTTTTAAGCCTAACATTGTATAAATATCGCTCAAACGTAAACTTTCGGAGAAACGTCGATGGACGCAGCCAGGGCAGGGTAAATTTTCATATGGGCCCACATGCGGTCGAATCGGCCGCACCGAGGACGGGCTCACCGAGGACGGGCTTTACAGTAGAGGTCCTGGCCGCGGCCAGAGTCCAAAATGATACATAGCCCTGGTCAAATGAAGGCTACGGTCTTGAGATAGAAACTAGACTTTGTTCTTGTAAGAGGTAGGCTGTTTGCAAAGTTTTTGTCCACTTAAAATAAAGCTAGATGTAGATCTACTGGTAACAAAACAATACGATATTTTCAAGCATGTCACCGATCTCAGTGGCCTAGTGGTATGGCGTCCTCCCCGGGAATGGAAGGTCATGGGTTCAATTCCCGACCATATCATACCTAAGACTAAAAAAACTGGCAATCTAGATCAAGTAGCTGTCCCACCTGCCGTCGGCATTATGGGACGAGTGTTATGACGGGTTGGCCCGGTGACTAGATGCGATAATACGTTCTGTTACATTTCATATCCCAGTGTAATAGCACGTTAATTTGCCTAAATGACCTACTGGTTTTAATTAGAGACGTTAAAGGCCAACTCAAACAAAAACTCAAGTATTGCATGGAGTGAACACTGAACTATCCCAAAAATGTGTTTTCCCAAGCAAGTCTCAAAATGAGTGGGAAACCGAAGGGGACAAAAGAAGCTTTAGACAATGTGTAACAAGCAGTCAGTGAAGGGATGTGGAGATACCAAGTCAATCTGAGACTGAAAGATTCCTTCGTTCTTTCTACTTTGCAACACAGGAATAATGGCGGCAAGAGAAAGACATCGTTGGAAAACCTTCCATCGCTCATCAGTGGACAAGAATTCATTGACTCTTCAGTCAACAAGGAGAGAAAGATCAAAAGGAAAGCAGAGATGGAAATGAGAAAAGTGGACAGAGTAGAGCCAAAATGGAAGAGGAGAAACGGAAGACGGGAAAGGAAAGAGAAAAACAGCGAGAGGAACTAAAGAAGCAAAGAGGAAGGAGAAAGAAAATAGAAAGAAGATGCAAAAAGAGAGGAGACTAACCAAGGAGAAGGGGACGAAGAAGAAGAAGAAGCAAAAGAAAAGAAGTCCAAAGTGAAAGGAAACAAATCCAAGAAGAGGTTGAGCGATTCAGACTATGACACAAGTGCAGGTATCAATGAAAGTGAAATGATGTTTGATGAAGATGACCTGCAGTTGGAAGATTTCATGGAAGAAGAATGTTCGACTGAGGAATCCATGTCTGCTGAAAGGGT